TATAAAGAACATTTATTAATCATTGGAATTTTGAAGTTCACAAATCAAGAACATAAATACTTATTTACCATTACTATTATATAATCATTTCATTCGCAATTTAGTCAGTAAGTATAAAAATTATTTACATTCAATATAAAATTTATACAAGTCACTCTCGTTATAGTGAAGCCTTCGGGCTGTAGATTTTTCTTTACTATATCGAGAGGTTCACTATATTAAAGGTCTCTTGATATAGTGAAGTTAATATATAAAAGCATAAATCTTCACTATATCGAGAGAAATAAAAAAGGCTTAATTTTATAATACTTTTATCGTTATACTGCCAATTCATAATTTTTCCGGCACTTATATAAAAATAAATAGATCGCAATTAAACCAAATTTCATCAAGTGAATATTTACCTACTGCCAAGTTTATGTCAAATAGATTTTTTTTCTTAATTGCTTAGTATTTGGTTTCAATTTTTATTATCAATGTCTCAATTAGAGTATATTCACGTTCTAATTTAATATCTAACTCTTTATATCCTTTCACTAGCCAAATTGCCACCAAAATTAAGAATTCTGAAATTTATTAACCAAAAAAAAAAAATTCGAATCTACATATATTCGTTTTATGAATTAATAAAAAAAGACTTCATTAAAATTAGGCCCAAAACAAATTTAAAAAAAATTGAAATTAGAAAAAAAATCAATAAGGATAAAATATTATTTCTACATTCACCCATAATTCTTAAATCAGATAGCCAATTCCAAATTGCTATATAAAGTTAAAGTTTAAACGTTTAATTTAAAAAATAATTTATTCAAAAAAGAAAGAAATTTTTTGCGCCTACTCACAAGAAAATCCAGTCATATCTTGCAAATAAATTTATAAATCAGCTACCTTTAAAATCAAAAAATAAAGCATTCAATCGGTTTTCAAAAAAAATTTTTTTTTAGAAAAGCAGTAAAAATCTAGTTATAAAATTTTAAATTTCCTAAAGTTAGCTAGCCCACTTCTAGTTACTACATGTGTTAAATCAATAATGAAACATTAATTCAATCGGTTCCTAAAAAAATTTTTTTAAAAAAAAAAAAAAAATCGTGTTTGCCCAAAAATAAAAAAAACTAGTTATCTTGCCAAATAAATTCTCTAAAGTTAGTTAGCCCGCTTCAAGTTACTATACTTAAATCATTAAAAAAAAAAAAAAAAAAAGAAATCTAAAAACTTCCAAAAAAAAAAAAAAAAAAAAATTTAATTTTAATTTGGTCTAAAAATAAACGTATCTAAGGTGACTTGTCGACTTGAAGCAGTATGTTTCAGATTTACGTCTTTTTTTAGTCTTTCTAAATTTCGAATGAGAGATTCATTTACTTGAAAGGCTCTATCCGGTTGCTGCTCGAGAAACAATAAGATTCTATTGATAAACTCTAAAGCTTGTGTGAAGGATATTGGTTTATTTGTGACTTTATCTTCTTCTGGTTCAATACATTCTCGATTCTTAACAGCTTCGATTATCTCCTTATCATTAGATATTTCAGTAGTAATCAGGTTATTATCAGCAATTACATACTCATCTGCACTCATAGGTTGGTCAAGAAGCAATCGCTCGATCAAATACTGAATCTCACTAGTAATATTAGATTCATTATTTTGGTCAAGCTCTTCAAACAGGAACAATTCATTAAGAAAATCATTTGGCAAAATACCAGTCTTTCTCCAACAGTTACGGATAGTTATTGGTGTTACTTTATCCCAAGCAGTAGCG